CCAAACTCAATACATGCATAAAGAACACCAGCACAAAACGTTGTATCCACCCCTAACAGCACCTCCTCCTGCTATAATGGCACCAGATTGGGAATGTTCATTTGCAGCATATATGGCCTGCAACTTGCAGGTTGGAAGACCTCTTGACTTGACCGTGGAGACAACAGCGAAAGCTGGGAAAAAACCGCACACCTGTACATTGCAGGTACTCCTGTTTTTTCCACCACAGGTGCGAGCAAATCGTGAGTCTGGGTTTTGCTTGAGTACCGAGGGGAAGAGTGCAAGTTGTTGCCGACAACAGAATGGCAACCAAGAGCGAGGCCCTGCTCAATCTATTCTTGCTGCAGAGAAGCTCCGGAAAAAGCCCTAGACTGCAGATTGTAAGAGTACACCTGCAGGTTGTCTTTGCCCATGGCAAGCTACCAACAGCCATTAATGAGTAGTTAAGTTCAAAAAGAAGCTTGGAAGACATGTCTGCGAAGTAGCACTGGTGAACTCACTTTGGGTTGTTCAAAGAAGCGACAGTGCGTAATGTCAACCCACATGACATATGCCCGGGCAACACAGCCCGCCGGAGCGCAAACCAAAGCAGGCGCTCACCAAAGCTGAGAAATCCATGTGGGGGTCAAAAATGGCTTTGGTACTCTGAATGGTGAGGGGTTTTGCTGAACTGCGTGGTGCAGCTCGGCATGAAGGACAAAAAGATGGATGCAAGTGGCTCTGAGCTGCCATCGTATCGAGAGGCTCGTCCATGGCCGCTCCCTACACACTTCCCACAGTCGACCTTGAAAGAGCAATTGTTTGTCTGCATGCTCTTCAAATCCCCTTGTCACTGCTTCAGCCTAGTTTAGCCTGACAAAGACCGGGAGGCCCGAAAGAATTTGTTGTCAGAGCTTTGGCGTGGTGTTTGCAATCAGCTTTGCCCCGATCTAGGGTGAAGGGTGTAACGGGAACCGGCCACGGGCGCAACGATCTATGTAATGGGAACCAGCCCGGGCGTAACTGGAACCGGGCGCAGGGGTAACGGGAATCGCTGGGGAGTGTAACGGAAACCGGAGGTACCGGAAACCGGGCCCGATAATTCTGAAATTAAGGTGTGAGATTAAGGTGACCGGCCGGCGGTTAACCTCGTTTCAGAATTGACGTACCACCATAACCCTGTGTAAGTGTACTCCTCTTGTTGTAATCCCCGCATTGATCTCCCATTAGCGCCTCCCCCACCCCTAAACTTTATAAGTCCTGCAAAGCCCCGCTCATTTCTGACCCCTGTAGATTCCACAAAATCCCTCTCAGCTCTATACAAACCACCCGTCAACACCCCGGTAATCTGAAAAAAAGCATGGGCTCTCTTCTCTTATGCCATGAACCCCATGGCATGACAAGGCGTCTCGGCGTCTGAATGTCCAGTTGCCTTCAAACTACCAAAAAATATCGTTTCTGATCTCGTTTTAGACCCCTTCTGAACCCTGGTCTAACATGTCGTTTCTGGACCAACCGACCTCCTCGTCACCGCAGCTTGTCAATTTGGTTAAGACCAGGACCAAGACGTTGGTTCCCCTTACGTCTCGAGCTGGTTCCTGTTAGATGCGAAGTTCCTGTTACGTGCCCCTGGTTTCTGTTTCGGCATTTACTGCCTGAACTAGCATTGCTGCTGAAGACCATGCTCAGTGCCACATAGTGCCTCGGGAACAGCCGCAGTGCCGCTAGGCTCTACCGCGATGAAGGTCCAAGCATAAAAGCATCCTCCTTCAACATTGCTTGTGATACATTGCTTTTGATATTTGCAGATCTGGCCTCTGCAACAGGCCACGTATCTGATGACCGCGAGTAAAGGGTGAGAACTTCCTGTGTTGACTTCTTTCCCTTCTGCATTTCGGGACCCACATCCATCAACTGCAACGAGATCCAAACTTCCACACAGCTAGATAGCCGAGTCTACGCTGTTGGCGAGCCTTCACCCTGGAAACTTGCTTCGTATCCATTCAGGTAGCAGGCATTGACGATCGACCTTTCAAGAACTTCGGGCTCAAACATTAGTCTATGGTATAGCCACAGCAGGCGCGCAAGAGAGTCATGACAAGGAAAGCCACCACATTTGGCGCCATGGTGCATACCGATGCCCTTAAGAACACCAAGTGGACCATTCATGCTGTAGTGTAGAGCCGCCAGCAGACAGGCATTGGCAAAATAGATTAGTTCACGTGCAGCGCTTTCAACGCTGACACAACCAGACTACAAAGGTCTGTGAGGGGTGCAGCCCAACAAGCGTCAGGACGCGGAAAGGTCCCGGATTACATACGAGCACTGATAGCTGCATCCCATCAGATAGCTGCATCCCATCAAAGATCCTTGCGATCGTTCGCTGGGACTTTCAGTCAGCATGCGCTTTGCGCTCTGCAACTGCCAATGACGTCCTAAGCCAACAATCTCAGCTACGGTAGGCGAAACGTAGGGAACTAATCATGAGAATCACTCGGGTGCTTGGAGCAGGGAACAATTTTAAAATGATCTTATCGCTCACTCTGCTCAGTGTGATGGCAAGAAGTGCAGGCGGAGGCGCTCCAAGGAAGCCTAAGCTAGTGCCTATGGCAACAGGCAAGCCACTACTTCTTCAAAACAATCTTCACACACACAACTAAACTTTGAGACTGAACCTAAGCCCAGGCACATTTAAGCGGTCGGCGGACGCGTCGTTCCATGCCGAGTTAGCAGACTGGCGCGTGGCGAGACCGATCAAGTTGGAGAAGCTCATTCGCGAGAGTGTCTTGCTGACATTGCGCAGGTCACGGTCCGACAAAGGAAGGGACTGCAGTGGCTGCACACCTGCAGATTCCTCCGCCAAGATAGCGAGGACCTCGGCTGCCTCGTCAAGGAAGCCCTCCTTCTCGGCTTTGCTGCTGCAGAAGCGCAGGATGATCCGACACAACTGCGACTGGTTGAGGCCTTGGACGATTGTGCGCTGCCTCTTGTCGAGCTTGGGCGTCTTCCCAAAGTGATCCATGTGGCAATAGGCGCACGCATTCCCCTTTTCACATTCCCCAAGAGCCCTGAAGATGCATGGTCGCCGGCACACCTCTGGATGCCCCAAACTTCCCTGACTGAGCAAGACCTCTCGTTGGGCAGGCGAGTCAGCAGGACTTTCAGGGCTGTCGCTACCACGGTCCGTATTCAATGCGGGGAAATCATTGGTGGGGGTCTCCGCATCCTCCTGAAGCCATGTGAATCCGTCCGTCATCTTCTGGGACAGGCTGCTGACGTAGCTGCGCATGGACTGTTCCTCGCTTCTGCTTGGCAAGCTGAAGAAGCTGAAGCTGATGCGCCGACCGTTGCATGGAGGTGAGCTCTGGGCTCGAGACCTCGAACCTGCCATATCCTCAAAATCATCCTTCACGTCGATAAAGGTGTTCAAATAAGAGAGTTCTAGGGCCATGTCGTCAAGCTAGGCACTGGCAAGCTGTACTACGGAGCTGGTGAGCGAAACTGCAGTCACTGAGTCATCGTTGGCTTGCAGAGCTGGCAGATTTTCCTAAGTCGGGGCAGCGAACTGAAGTCCAAGAAGCATGGTCAGTACGGAAACTTTGCACCTCTGTTTCAATGGCACGCTGCCACCTGTCAAGACAGAAAGTGGCAACACTCCTGAGTTAACATCACAGACAACACATGCCTATGCAGAGGAACAAACTTCTCACAGCAGTTCTTGTTGACATGTTACGCGCTGCAATCTGGCTCAATCCACAAGCCTAGTACTTAGTACACAAGTACTAGACCAGGCTTGCATTTGCCAGGGTCAATTGGCCTGTGGTCGCAGTCTCTGAGGACATCCTCAGGCCAGAAAAGCCAAGAGGCCGCTTTTAGAGTTCAACTGGGAGGAAGGCAAAGAGGCCTAGGCTTATAACCTGCAAATCACGGGCTTTTTAGGCAGGACATTAGTCTCACCTTTTCATTGCTACTTTCTTGCAGCTTAAGATGGCAAAATTCTCACAGGAGCGGCTTGCACGAGGTGTTCAGGCAAGGAAACTAGTGGTGCACAGCTCAATTGAAAAGTGCTCCAGCTGTATGAGCCCAAGGATTGGCCAGGCGTCACCCTTTCTTTCGTCCTGACGGAAGCCCGAAACCCATAGACCGGTCCTTCAAGATGTCGCACAAACGCTCAGCCTTGCACGCATGCACAATGAGCCGTTGCCTAATCATTTCCCTTTGGCAGCCAAAAAGCTCGAGTAGGCCCGCAGGTGGATTGGGCTCATAGCAGGTTTCTACTGACATCCTTGACACGTTTCCGGATTTCTGACCAACTATGACTCCTCGATTACAATTCTCACATGGGTTATTGACATTTAGCTGTGAGGGAAGCTTCTCTCGCACATGGACCTTCACGGCAGTCCATACTGTTAAGAGTGTGGGCCAGAGATCACGCCTGCTGAGAAGTTGTTGAGGTGACCCCTTGTTGCATGTCCTTTCGAAATGAATCTCAAACCAACCGTCTTCAGCAAAAGGAATGTTCATCTTGCCTACGAAGTGATTAAGTTGCATCCTGGAAGAAAACAGGCATGTTCAAAAGAAATTTTATGCTTTTAAGCGACCCAGACCTCACCAGCCCGGCCTCGCCAAAGCGGTCTGCTGGGCCGCGGAGCCCAGCTTCGGACTCTTCGAATCCGGCCACCTCCGCGAAATTTCATTTGAGGCTCTGCGAAATGCCTTCAATCATGCATCTCGCACAACTGCAGCAAGTGTGCCGAGTACTACTTGCATGGTTGGACCGCAAACCCTGCACTTGACAGGCCTCTTAGAACAGGCTCTTCCCTACGAAAAGCCGTCCTACGCCAGCTAAGCAGCATAGTCAGGAAGTCAGGAACCAAAACTTGAAAGGGCATACTAATTCGTTGGTTCAGTTCTGGCCCTGGCAAGTAAGCTTGTCGGGCATCGTGGAATGCACCAGCAGCCTGGCCTTGAACGCGACAAAGGCCAAATCTATGCTGCAATTCCGGTACAGCGATGGCATTGGCAACACGTGTTCCACCCATGGCTTTGGCAAAAAGTCGGAGCACCTTCAGCACTTCCACAGCGGCGCCGCTGTTGCTGAAGGTCTCCTTCAATGTCAACCAAACCAGCAAAGCCACTGAAAGTTGGAAATTGCATCAGAAGATCGTACGATCCAAAATCTCACTTCAGCTTGAACATACAAGTTCACGAAGGCGTTTCAGTGAACGCTGACAGTCACTTCACGCTCACCTGAGGCGCACGACTGCTGCAGGTTGTTGCTTGAAAGAGAGCTTCACGCAATCAACGGACAAATGTGTGCCAACACTCCTTGAACCTGGCGCTGGACAAGTTCACCTCTCAGCAGTCTGATCTGACTAGTTTACTGCCCGCTCGCGGGAGCAGCAAGATCACAACTGGGAGGATGCTGCATTTGACTTGAAGATTTTCCAGGCGCCCGAATGAGCATCCTGCGTGAAAAGCAAGATCTAGAGTACATGACAAGGAACATACAGGAGCAACTACAGCAATCAAGCTCAGCAGCAAGATGAAAGTTGGGAAGTTCATCGGCAAACTTCAGAAACCGATTTGTCTCAAGTTTGTCCTACTCCCTTCTGTAGCCCAGATGTCGCTCTACAGGCACCACCCACAGCACCTCGCGGTAACGCTCCTGCCCAGGGTTGGCCACCTTCGGCAAATGCACTGTCAGCATGAACCAGCTAACCAGCTCTAGAGGGCTCCCAGGGCTCCCTTTCAGCTCGTTTGCTTTGCCATGTGCCGTTTTGAGACTGATTGGCAGAAGACCTTCCGCTCAAAAACGCTGGAAGCCCCCTGGCCCCGGCATAGCGGCCTGCTACTTTCTGTAGCTCTTCTTTCTGCTTCCAGAGTGCTAAATTGCCCTCAACTCTCGCCAAACCTGACTCAATCACTGCAATGCCATTTCAGCATCGAAAAGAAATCGCTGACCCTCCTGAGCCTCCCGGCCAGATTTTGAAGTATCATAGACATGGTTTGGATGGAGCGTCGAGCCTGTCACAGGCCCAGTTAACGATGCCCGCCATTCATGCGACTGGAAGATTTGGGTGTACATGAGTGAATAGTCTCTGGAGCCGATTGTGTCTTTCATTGATTTGGAGCGATGGGTCGCCAAGGAAACGGCCCTGGCCCTGGAAGAAAATTCCACGGATAGCACGAAACTGGCCACAAACACCATCTTCCATGTAGCCATGTACCAACTTGTTCCTTGAGTCGGTTGGAGCTTGGAAGCCATGCTAAAGATGCAATGAACCTGAAACCCCAAAAATGTTGTTGAGGACACCTCTGCTGCAGTACCGGCGCTTCTCAAGAGGCCCTGCACTGTGGCATCAGCCTGGCAGTCGAGGGGCAAAATTGAGTAGCCTAAAGGGACCCTGTGAAGACCCCAGAGGACATGCGAAGAGGACGAAAAGGGACTTCCAAGGCATTGTATCACCAATAGGTTCTGAAGGTTGCTATGTCGGGTTGTGTGGGGGAGATGCGATCGGGAAGAAGATGGAAGAACCGAACAAAGCCACGGGTTCTTACAGACACGTTCTTGGCAGACTGCCATTCGCAAAACTAAGAGTTACCCTTCAAGAGCGAACAATGCAAGTGTGAGGCATTGCAATGGGAAAGGTAGTTCTGCTCACACTAGGCCCTGGCATCCTGCAAGCATTTCCAACTGAATGTATGCAGAGCCCTGTCAGCTATACCCCTGTCCTTGCAACTTCTCGGCGACTCTAGGCCAAAGCCGAAGCGGGAGGTGCACGCTCAGCCCACGACCTTTTCAAACCACCGTGGCCAGTTCTCCTTCAGCATCAAGTCATATGCTCTCCACATGTGCCCTGGTCTCTTCCCTTTCCGGCAGTTCCATCCCAAACTCAAAACCTGCGCCCCAGTGGGTAGGCTCTCAAACATGAAACAACTCTTGTCTGGGAGGCCCTGGCATCACCGTTTGCGGTGGCTGTTCGACCTTCAGCCACCAAGGGTGAAGGCGAGGGCCGACAAACTCCTACTAGTAGGTTGGGCCTGACAGGCTTCTCAGGGTCAGGTTACAGAATCTTAAGAAAAGGTTTGCCATGAGCAACCGATCCAGGATTAAAGCCAAGCTCGCGTGTGTCAGGCGGGCCTTGTACTTCAGATGTGGAGATTACGCCAGGAGTGGTCCTTTTTGAGGTCGAATGATCGTGTAATTGTATGTGCCAAACGCCAGTTCTCCACACTGCCACTGACTCGTGGGAAGCATATGTTCGCACGCAAATCAGAAGCTCAACATGCAGCGAGCATCCGAGCCTAGCAGCCGGTGCAGGTAGGTCTGGGGATCACACATGCCACAAGCGATCGGAGCATCTGCATCGACCTGGAAGGGGGCATAGAAGAAAACAGTCAGCAAATGTCAGCAGCAAAGGCACGTCTCAGCAAAAAGATTAGGCCCTGGCTCTGAGGCGAGCTCCATTCGACTTGTGGCCACCTTCCTTGAAGCACAGGTCTCTTAACAAACACCACTCCCACACAACCCCTGCACGCGTTCGAAGCGAAAGAACAGAAGCATCGCACTGAAATGTACTGAAGCCTACACCCTGAAACCCAAACCCTTTTAATTCTCACTCTACACCCTAAACAAGCCCAGTCATCGGAACATCCTGCCATGTGTTAGAATTAGTTACTTCAGTATTGTACTCAGTTGATCAAAAAGTACAGCGAGATACCGCAATACTCCAGCCAAACGAATAGTCATCGCGGCTTGCAGCATTCAGCTATGTAAAAATCATAGCCAAATAGACAAATTTCCATGTCTCCTCATGCTTTTAAATTTTGACGCAGGATCTCCATGCCAAGCCCAAACTTCAGGCCAAAACTTGAAACTTCAAGCCGGAAATTATGACCAGAAGTGGCCCTGGAAAGATTGATTCGCGGCACCTGCCTTCTGCACGCTTCATCCAGCTTGCGCTGGAAGTCAGCGGCTGCCATCTGGTAAAGCCGCTGCCTTGCAACATGTGAATGATTCAACAGGAGATGCAGCCAAGGACAGAGAACACCTGGGCAACCGCCGGGCAGAGCCCTTAGTAATGTAGCTAGTAACTTACGTCTTTACTCCAACTTTCCGCCAGGGGAACAAACCCTACTTCCTGGAAATCATGCTGAGCCCAAACAAACCCCTTCACTGTAGCTGAAGTGGCTGTTGCTCCACGGATCGTCGCAACGAAGCTGTAGCTTCTCTGGTCTCCTCCAACAGTCTGGTGCGGGTTTCCGCTTTCAGATCTGCTCCAGATCTTGTATGGTACGCAGCTGATTGTATGTTGCAGGGTCCCTAGCTCAAACATGCTGTTTAGAGCAGCTGGCAGCCCCCAATGCCATGCGAGCCAACAGTCCAAGCAGCCAGTCTCCGATGACAGCACCAAGTCGGGGTTCCGAATGAGTTGCAACACTCGCTGG